AAAGAAAGAAAGAAAGAAAGAAAGAAAGAAAGAAAGAAAGAAAGAAAGAAAGAAAAGAAAGAAAGAGAAAAAAAGGAAGGAAGGAAGAAAGAAAGAAAGAAAGAAAGAAAGAAGGGAAGGAAGGAAGGAAGGAAGGAAGGAAGGAAGGAAGGAAGGAAGGAAGGAAGGAAGGAAAGAAGCCAACTAATTGAACTTGCAAGTTGTGCTCTGGAGACTGTACCCCTGAAGGTGTCTGTATTGTCCTGAGTTGGTAACTAATTTCTGTCTCCTCGTATAAAATTAGGGATCATAGGAGATGTTAGTTTAATGCTCTTCCGCAACAAAATAATATAAGAAACATCTTTGAGGCACACATTCCTCTTGTTTTAAGACCTCTGACCTCTGAGATTCAGAAGGGTCCCTGTATTTCTATCTGGGTTTGCTGGGTGACACTCAAGGCACAGGGGCTGTGTTTGGCTCATGTGGTGTTTCTGTTCATCTCTGAATCATATGCATTCAGAGGAAGAATGTGCTGCACAGTTTACCTCAGTCCCCACTATTTTCTTGTCTACTTATTTGCAATCTACCATCTAGCATTTGAAAGTATGAAACCTGGAGTGGAAGGTATGTGAAAACTTGAAACTATAGTAGTAATTTTAGTTAAATTTAAAATACTTTTTATCAGTTTCTAGTCTTCTTTGTAAGGGAAAGAAGTGGATCTTGTGATTAGCAAGAAAAAGCCATTGTGAAGAATGTGGTTGTGACCATCGTTGCTATATCGGCCTTTGATGCAGCTAAAGTATAAATAGCTTTAGTTCGTTGATAAAGAGTCCAAATCAGATGCCCTGTCAATGCTACACAGTCCAGGACACATTATGTCTGATCTGTAAAATAGATAGCAATGCTTGAGAAGAGTTAATGAGGCATACAAAGAACATAACAGAATAAATTAATAGAAAATGAACTCGCCCATTCAGAAGTCATTCATGCAACAAGTATCTACTGGATACTTTTCACACAGCACGCATTATGTAAGCACCAGGAAGAAGGCAAAGCAGACATGGTGTCTGCCCTGGTTGTGCTTACAGTCCATGTAAGGAGCCGGTGTAAGAAAACACATCCACAAGTAAATGTGTAATTGTGATTAGTGTTACAAATAATGCTATAGAGAGAGGGAAGTTATAGCAATCTGATTGAATCAAGAAGTCCAACCACACTGCTCCCAGCAGTAGAGTTGCTGAACTGAGATAAAAGAATTACTGTAGCATGTAAGAAAACTGAATATTTTTCAACGAAGGCATAGCCCATGAAGTACAAGCTCAGAAGCGGCCCGCCCCCTCTCCAAAGCTGGGTTTCCAGCAAAAATATGAAATTAATCAACTGGATGGGATGCGGCTCACTAGTTTGTCAGGCCAGAGCAGTCTGCAAACCCAGTACAAACAGGAAGCAACCCTTTTAGGACCCCACAAGGCAGGAAGTCTTCCGTTGGTGGTTGATGCGTAGTTAAACTGTAGGAGTGAGAATGTTTGTGTGGCTGAAAAGCCTGGAACATAAGAAGACCTTGCCACAAAGAATCTGTCAGAAGTGCTATAAGGAGATAAGCCTCTGGGAAGAGGGAAGCAAGCAGGAAAAATCAGGGCATCGGAGTACGCAGGAGACCTGCGCAGTGCGTGCACATGGCAAGGATCACAGGAGGGAGACCACTAGACCATGCTGAAGCTGCAGTGTCCCAGAGGGACCGCATATGCTGGGCACATGGCTGGACAAAGCACCTCCGGACGGCCACATGCTCACTGATGGACCGACCACCCCGCAGACAGGGCAGAGCAAGAGCCTCCCTCCTTTGCAGTGTTCCTCTCGCGCCCTCTGCTGGGAAACCTTAGCAGCACGTGCTTAGTACAGAACTCCAAAATGAAACAAGTTCATTACAAAAGGAAAAAGCAAGTTTTCTTTAAGCCGTGGGCCACGGGGAATTTGACCATGCTCCAGTGAGTATATGGGCAACACAAATTGGACTTTTTTTTTCTTCTTCTTTGTTAGGGGAAACTCACAAGAGGGTTCAGAGACCTGGGAAGACACGGAAGTGAATGTGACTAGGGTGCATCATGTGAAAAGCCCATTTAATCAAGAAAAATATTATGTTGGAAGAAAAAAAAAGATAGTAAGGAGTGATTAGAATCTGGGAGACACTGAGAGCACTAGTTTGAAAACTGGGAAAAGAGTGAAAAGCTTGAATAAATTAGGACGAGAAGTGGAGATGTGAGTGGGGTGGGTGTGTTGTATGTGTCTGTGGTGTGTGAGTGTGTATGTGGAAGGGTAGATATAACATTTCAGCTGGCACCCAAGGGTTGACTAGAAGTTAGCCAGACAGAAAGTTGACATAAGCATTTAAAGATATATGAGATATCTAATTTATATTTTAATTTTAAAAAGAGAGAACAAAAGGAAAAGGAGGAAGGGAGGGAGACAGGGAAGAAGAGAGGAAGGATTAAAAAAAGAAAAGAAAAGTGTGTTATGTTTAAGAAACTTAAAAATTTCTACTGTGGCTAAAGCAACAGTTTCCTCCCTGTCATAAAGTGGAAAGCAGAGAAGTAAAGACATTAGTCTAGAAAACAAGCAGGAGGCCCCCATGCAGGGGCCCAAAGTAAAAACAGCAGCTTTGGGATGTTCTTTTGACTAAGACAGAAGGCCAGAAAATATACCAGACAGTGGGGTTTTTCTCATGTTTAATCTGTTTGGCTGAAAAT